TTTTAAAACCAGTAAGTGTGATGCCTCCAGCTTTGTTCATTTTGCTCAAGAGATTGCTTTGGTTATCTGGGGACTTCTGTAATTTCATACAAATTTTAGGATTGTTTTTTCTACTTCTCTGAAAAATGACAAAAATTTTGATAGGGATTGCATTGAGTCATAAATTGCTTTGGGTAGTGTGGACCTTAAAATATTAATAATCCAATCTATGAACACAAATATGTTTCCATTTATTGTGTCTTCTTCAATTTCTTTCATCAGTGTTTAATAGTTTTCAGTGTACAGGTTTTTCATCTCCTCAGTTAAATTTATTCCTATGTGTTTTATTTTTTGAAGCTATTTTAAATGAAATTGTTTTCTTGATTTTTTGGATAGTTCATTGTTAGTGTATAGAAATGCTACTGATTTTTGTATGTTGATTTTTGTATCCTGCAACTTTACTGAATTCATTTATTAGTTCTAAGTGTTGTTTGGTAGAGTCTTCAGGGTTTTCTGTATATATGATCATGTTGTTGCAAATAGGGACTATTTAACTTCTTTCTTTCCAATTGCCTTTTATTTCCTTCTTTTGCCTAATTGCTCTGGCAAGAACTCCCAGAACCATATTGAATACGAGTTGTGAAAGTGGGCATCTTTATCTTGTTCTTGATCTTAGAGGAAAAGCGTTAAACTTTTTTCACCATTGAGTATGATATTGGGGTGTTGGTTTTTCATTTATGAAATTTATTTTATTGAGGTACATTGTTTCTATACTTAATTTGTTCAGAGTTTCATCATGAGAGATGCTGAATTTTGTCAAATGCCTTTTCTGCATCTGAGATGATCATATAATTTTTGTCCTTTATTCTGTTAATATGGTGAACCACATTTATTGATTTGTGTATGTTGAACCATCCTTGAATCCCAAGGATAAATGCCACTTGATCATGGTGAATGATCCTTTTGATATGCTGTTGAATTCAGTTTGCTAATATTTTGTTGAGGATTTTTGAATCTATGTTCACTGGGGATATTGGCCTGCAATTTTCTTCCAGTGTCCTTGTCTGCCTTTGGTAACAGGGTAATGCTGGCCTTGTAAAATGAGTTGGGAGGTATTTTCTTTTCTTCAATTTTTTGGAAGCATTTGAGAAGAACTGATATGAGTTATTCTTTAAATATTTGGTAGAATTCAGCAGTGAAGCCATCAGGTCCCAGGCTTTTCTTTGATGTGAGGCTTACGTCAGTCTCCTTAGTCTTTACTTATTGGTCTGTTTTCAAATTTGCTATTTCTTCATGATCCTATTATTGCATTCCACATATATTAAGAATCTACTATGTTTAGGGCACTGCACTGATCTCTGGAAATAAAGAGTGAATAAATATACAAGAATCCCAAATAAATTATGTAGCTACTCTGCCCTAAAAGAGGGGGCTGTAACTCTCTACTCCTTCATCTTCCTTCCCAAAACCCTTAACTCAAATCTTGCCATGAGAAAAATATCAGACAAATTCCAATAGAGGGGAATTGTACAATATATCTGACCAGTATTCCTCAAAACTATCATGGTCGCCAAAAACATGGAAAGTCAGAGAAACTGTCACACCCAAGAGTAGCCTAAGGAGACATGACCACTAATATAATGTGGGATCCTAGATGAGATCCTGAAACAGAAAAAGGGCATTAGATAAAAACTAAGAAAATCTGATAATGTCTCAGTTAATAATAGCATCAATATCAGCTCACTGAGTCTAACAAATGTTTCATACTAAAGAAAGATGTTAATAATAGGGCTTTTTGTGTGTGTGTGTAAGGGGATAATTGAAATTCTCTGTACTATCTTCTCAATTTTTCTGTAAATCTAAAATTATTCTAAAAAATGAAGTCTATTAAAAAAAGTACAAAAAATTTGGATAAATTATCTCTGTTCTCCTAGAGCTCAGTTGAGGAGAGACCAAAACCAGAAAAAATTATGATACAGCGTAATATATGCTATAATACAGGTTTGAAAAAAGAATATTGGAGCCCCGTCAGGACTGTGAAAAGAAATTATAATCTTTTCTACTGACCCATACCTTAAAATATTTGAATCTCCTGATGCACGATTCACACAAGTACTTTACTCAAAGTTGGCATTCCAATACTTAGGAGAATGATGAAGAAGACAGCTCCCTGTTGTGAAATGACCTAGATGTGGTAGTGATAAATAATTAGAGATAAGTGAAAGTTAACTACTCTCTGTACTACCTCCCTAAAAAGTGAAAGCAAGTTTCTGCTCAAATTCTGCCTTAAATACCTTTATTACTCAAACATTTGATGTTTTGGATGCCCAGTGAAATCCCAAGAATTTGTCCTTTTCTGTGCTTCAATTGCACTCTGCATGAAGTTTTTGAGAGACAATAAAGTGAGAATTGTTTCCCTTAGAGCCAATGGTAGGCAAACAGAATCATTAAAAAAAAAAACTTAAAGGCTGGAAGCTTGACCAGAAAATCCAAAAAGGACTCTGATGGAGTTTGGATATGTTGTCCCCACCAAAACTCATGTGGAAATTTGATCCCTAATGTGGCAGTGTTGGAAACTGATTGAGTCATGGGGGCAGATCCCTCATGAATGGATTAATGCTCTTCCTGGGGGAGGGTGGGGGTCCTGAGTGAGTTCTTGCTCTATTAGTTCCCCGGGAGAACTGGTTGTTTATAGGACCCTGGCACCTCCTCTCTCTCTCTCTCTCTCTTGCTTCCTCTGCCTTGTACCTGCTGGCTGCCTGCAGCTTTTCTGCCATGAGTAGAAGCAGCCTGAGGCCCGTGACAGATGCAGCTGTCTGAGAATCGTAAGCCAAGTAAACCTCTTTTTCTTATAAATTACCCAGTCCCAGGTATTTCTGTTATAGCAACACAGATTAAAACAGACTCCATTTTGAAAGGTAAAGGGTGAAAGGTCACTCGTTCTTTATACCTGGCTCATACACAAATGAGAAGTATCTCTAAAATATTTCAGTCAATACCATTGATTTCACCCACGAAATGAGAGCCGAGCCCGTTACTAAGATCCATCACGCTAGTAACAGAATCCCTAATGTGGACAGAAAGTTAAGCTAGCTGAAGCTCTACTACCAACAGCCTTAGGAGTGTGGCCTTTTTTTAATTTAAAGACAGCTGACCACTCCTGCAGTGTGAATTCCTGATAAGGCAAAGTGAGGGCTAATCTAGCCAGCACACACTTTCATCCTAATATGAATGGTGAACTATTTTAAATTAAATTACACGCACCGTGGCACTTCTTTTCTCCGAGTTATCCTGGTATAATGGCATTGATAGTGCGATTTTACTCCTGGGTCTCAACCGAACCCTGCCACTGTGAGACCTTGGGCAAATCATGTTCCTCCTCTGGGTCCCGGTTCCGTTCTCTGAAATGAGGGCACTGGGTTAGGACTCTCTGGTTCTTTCCTTGCGTATAATCCGTGAGCTAGGTGTGCTCTAGCTGAAGTAGAGGAAAACCGTAAGTGTACATGTAGCGACACTAGCTTTAATCGTACCCTCCTTGAGTGATCAACTGTTAGTATTAGACAAGTAAGTAATGTTTAGGATTGCACTTCCCCCCCCCCCATCTTTCAGTGTCGTACGCTTTCATAAGGGAATCTATAGGTTTTAGTCATACTACTGTAGACTTAAGTTACAGCAGTTAAAAAAAAAAAGCCCCAAGGTAAAAATACTAACCACTTACGGGGATTACCTCGTCGGTCCTCGGACCCACTAACTCTGCCTGCCTTCTGTCAGGGTTGGTTTCAGAGCGGATGGTGCTCTCTGTTCAGCCTTAAAACGCGGCAAATCTAAGTCACGTTTCCAACAGCAGTCACCATATTTCCTCATGTTTCCCATTTGGTCTTTAAAAAAAAAAAATCCCGAATGTAGCATTTTCTTATAAAATTCCCTTGAATGATTCTTTAAGCTCCAAGCGTATGTGGGGACGCTCCAGGGACCGCCCCACGATGTTCCCTCCTCCTCCTCCCAAAAAGAAGTGGCGGAGCTGGGGGCGGCCTGGCGCGGCGCGGTTCGCACCTGAGCGGCCGGGGCTCCCGGAGCCGGGCGGGCGCTGGAGGGCGAGGCAGCGCCCCGTTCTCGGCCACGGTCGCGCAGGGCCGAGGGGCCCGGCAGGAGGAGCGTGTGCGCCCGCCGCCTGACCCTCGCCTCGCACCCCGCGTGGGCACGTTTCTCCTCAGACATCCCAAGTCGCCTTAGGCTCCCGCTCCTTCCCCTGGGAAGACTCGTGGGTCCAGCCCGGAGCTCTCTCCGCTCCACCCCGGGAGGCTCTCGCTGCCCTTCCGCCTCCCGCGCGCCCAGGTGTCCCCGCAGCCCTCGGCCCCTCCGGCCCGCGCCTCCCGGCCCTGCGGGTCTCCGGCGCCTGGGCGATATCCTGTATTTCCTAAACAAACAATAACCGTGGGAGTTCACCAGCACATGGCCAGCCCTAAAAGAAATCCTCAATGGAATCCTGCATCTGGAATTCAAAAAACAATAATCAATTCCATGAGTACATAAGAAAGGACAAAACCCATAGGTAAAACAAAAATGCAAACAAGAAAGAGAAAGAAACTATGTTTTATCACCTCAAAAAACCAACACTGGGGCCAGCCCGGTGGCGCACTGGAGAGTGTGCCGCTTGGGAGCACGGCGGCGCTCCCGCCGAGGGTTCGGATCCCATGTGGAGACCAGTTCCCACTCGCGGTGCGGATGCAACACCGAGGGTTGCGATCCCATTGCCGGTCCCTGGTACGGGCGCGAAACCGAGGGTTGCAATCCCGTTACCGGTCAGTAAAAAAGATGAAAAGGAAAAAAAAAAAAAAACCCAACACTAAAGACAAAAAATAAGGCGCACCGACCGGTTCCGCCATGCCTGCCGCTCTCGCCGACATCTCCTCCTCCGGCGCCTGCCGCGGCCGGTAAGTCCCTGCTGGAGGAGCAGCGGCGATCCCCGAGTCAACTTTCAACCCCCCCTTTGCTTTCTGCCTCGCCATTCTCTTCTCCTCCTCGAAAGATGGCTGTTTGGAGAAGGGGGAGAAGTTAGGGAGTCGCCGGCGCGGGGCGAAGGAGGGCGCGACAGCCTCAGCAGGAGCGGGCGGAGGTGAGTGGCAGCACGGCCGGGTCCCCGGCTGCTGCTCCGGGAAAGCCCTGGGAATTGGGGGCCACGGGTCCTGTGTATGCGCCGCTGTATTCCCTGCCTGGGTTCCTCAGGTTAACAGCATCTCAGTCCGGACTCCGATTGCACTTGGCTTGCATCTCGCAACCCAGAGGTTGGTGGGTTTAAGGGAACCTTTGTCAGAAGTTGGGTGCCAGGTGATCATTTAGCTGCATACCCTGCCATTTGGCTAGGCAAGCCGAGGCGAGGGGTCAGTGGCGTGATTCTTCCCTGCCCTCGAACACACACCCGGTTAATGTTGGAGCAGAGCTGTGAATGAAAAGTTTGTCCCGCCAACGTGTTGCTTGAGGGGAGCAATGCTTAGTGGGGGTACCTTTGATGTTTCCTGGGGGACTTCAGCTTTGAGTCTATATATCAGAATACCGGGTTTTAAGAAAAGTTAAGGAGGCTGGGGGATGGGGGTTAAAGCACTTCCTTGGCCAGTGGAAGGAGAATGACGAATTGTAAGCTTATTAAGGTAAACTGGTTAATGAAACGCCACCGAGGGTGTCACAGTGGGGACTAGAGGGAGCGGAGGGCGGGGGCGTTCCCTGAGCGACTAGCGAGCAGCGTTTGTTTGGCTTTGAAGCTGTCGCCCGCTTGTCCGCAGTGAGAGATGCTGGTGTCAGAGGCCTGTGTATCTGTGGTGTGATAGAGTGGGACCGAGCTGCTCTCCAGATCCGAGGCGCGGTGGCCTGCGGCGGGGAGCCGAGGATGCAGTTCATGTGATGAGGACTGGGAAAATTCTCTAGTGAGTCTTCTGTGTTCTAATTTAAGGAGGATCTGTCGCGTTTGTTTTCCCTGCCAGGGAGGTGTGTGTAATCTCCTAAAAGGAACTTTTAGACTAAGTTACTATAGCATTTTGAAATCAGTGGGAAATGAGATATCTACATATACCCCGTTATGCACGAGTATTGTATGTGTGTGTGTGTGTAAAATATGGGAGTGGTGTAAGAAGGGCTTAAAAAGTTCAACTTCTAGCAGAAAAGAAAGTGAAGAGTTAATTTTTTCCCTCCCCAAATGGTATAACAATGCTTATACAACTAAATACTCCTGGTTTGCTGAGATTTCTCATAAAGAATGAGATTTAGGAATTAAAAGTATTCGGAGCACAATCATGTTTTAAAATCTTGCAGGCATTATTGCAATCTAGGAAAAGGGAGTAAGTACATAGAAAATCTATATTAAAGAAAAAATTTTAAATCTTTGGAAAGAAAACCTTTTGACACATGAAAAGATCTGGATTTTATTTTCTGATGTTCCAGAAATCTTTTTAATCTTGTAATTAATAACTGCACAGAATAAGTTGCAGTTAATAAATGAGGACAATAAAAAGTCATGTTTGGGAAGGGTATCTCTTGAATTTCTCCTAGGAACTTTGATGTTTATTATGGAAATTATCATGACTGAAAATTTGTGGTTTAATATATTTACCTTTTATCACAGATAATTAGTCCTCCTTATCCTTTTAAGCCACTGTTCCAGTTCGGACCAATTTAATTTCCCAGACATCAAGTCATTAATGTACCTGCTGGAAACCATTCATATTTAAAATGCTTAATAATAATATTGTATTTCCAAAAGAACATAATTTCATCGGTTGTAAAACTCGCTTGTAATTTATTCTCATCCATTTTGTTCGAATGGAGCCCATCTCAAGAAAAACAGCATTTTCTGGGAATGTGTCATTTTCTGTGTCAGAAAAAGCTAACATTTTCATATATGTTTCAGCTACAAAGCAGGTGCATGTACGGTAGGAATCCTGAGTCTGTCCTTTGATAGGCTGCCAGTTACAGGGAGAGAGATGCTTTCTCAGCTCTGTTGGTGGATTGATCATCTTCACTGCAGAATGGACACAATTAAATGCATATAAGGTGGTGTAGAAGAAAGTGGAGAGTTTTAAATTAAGTACCTGTGTATGGGGAGGAGACAGTTTTCACCTCAGTCTTCCTGTTCCTCTCCCTCTGTAATTCAGTGTATTAACCTGGTCTTCATTGGAAAGTTGAACCCAAGGGAATTTTATAAGTGGAGTAGAGAGTGTTTGCTATATACTAAGCTGTCATTTTCTGTAAAACAAGTGATTGATTTTCTGAAATTAGAGGTAATTTTATACATGGGTATAGATTTTATGACTGACTCTTTTGTGACCAAATTAACTATATCCACTATTATAGTAGAAAGAATTGCTTTATGAAGTTAATATACTATATCTAAATAATTAATTATTATATATGTATGGGATATAGATTAAGTTCTATTTGAGGTTTTAAAGAGTTTTAAATCTTAAGGCCAACTACCAGGTAAAAACCTGCTTAATTAACTTGTTTAAATGATCCCCATAATTCAGATTTTTATTAATATCTGCATCTAAAGATGTTTCAGGTTTTTATAGCTTTCATTTATTTTCATTAGGATAGTTTACTTGAATTTGCTTAAATATTACAACATGTTATAATTTACACCCGCTCAGTGGGGAAGGCGTAGGTTATTCTTAAATAGAGATATGGAGAAATAGCTAACAAGGAGAGTCATTTGAGAAACATATGGACATCATAAAATCCTTCTGTATGGAGCATCTGTACCTTCTCATTAGTGAAATATTGTAGTTATAGACACTTTTTTTGTTATTACATCCAAACATGGCTTTTTATTTTCGCTCCAGTGGATTTTTTTTTTTTTTGTTTTGAAATATACTTTGTATTATTGTTGAAGTTGGTGGGGGCTTTTATTACTTGAAGCTCTTTCCTTTCAATGGCATCGTACTTAATTTTTATTGAACACATCATAGATATGTACAGTCGTTTTCTAGCTTATTATCATAACTCCTACATTTCTTGATGATTCCTGAAGACATTGGAGAGACAGGTAGGATGACATATTGTTCTCATTTTAGGAAGGAGGCAGCAGGCACACGTCTATATTTCCTGTATTCTAACCACAAGAGCAAGCTGCTTCCATGGCTATCTTATGGCAACTTCATAAATTTATATATTCCTAGATTTTTAAAATGTTCATCTTTATAGATGTGCAGATCAGATTTTAAATTGGTCAGTATAGTCATAAGGGGATGGGTCCTTACTGTTACCTGCTGACGAGGGAGAACTGACTCGAACAGCTAGTGCTGAAACAAGCACACACACAAACCTCTGAGGTGTATCCATTCCTGCAGTCAATCCAGAACCCACATATTGCTCTGCCCCCACTGGCCTCACCTTATGAACCACATACTGCCATTTTACTGATCAAAGCAGCCCCTGAAGTTTATCAGCACAGTTGTCAAGCTTGAGGATCATCAGCCTCACTGGTGAGAGAACTCAGAACTGGTTTTTGGGAAGAGAGAGTATTGACAGAGGACACCAATAGAGTGTCCATTCCTGAGCCAGTCAGTATCAGTCACGGATCTCATTCTAGGTATCAGGACACCATTTTTCCCTTATTAGCTCTGCTTCTTTGGCTGAACTTAAGACATTGAAGTGAACAGAGGGTTTATGGAGTTATCTAGTCATTTCTGCCCATGTAGGCTTCATAGCTGGATAAATCAGATCTTAAAAAAATGAAAAAGGACATCAACTTATTCATCTTTTTCTTCATCTCACCAAATTCCTTCTCTTTCAAATCTCACCAGAATTTTTCAGGATAATTGCCCACATGATGTGTGACAGCCAAGTTGATAGACTTCTGATATTGTATTATTAGATTCAAAAGTAGAATATATTAACTGGGATGCAGAAGAAAGCATTGCGGTTTTATAGAAAATGGTAATATGTAATCTTATGGAAGCATGCACATATTTGATGAAAATACTTTTAGCATTTTTGAATAAGCAGTCAGTACCAGGAGCTCTTTATTAAGTTAAATATATTTTTTAACTATCCCTTTCCCTAAATATATAGTGTATAGGAGCTCATCCAAAGCATTTTAAATGTGAAATGCTGAAAAAAAATGTGAGTATTCAACTGTGGTTTGCTTTTTACCATAATGAATTCTATTCAGAGCCTCAAAGAGAGGAAAACTCCTATTCAATCCATTATTGGCCACACCAGAGAGTATATCACAGTGCTGGTAAGACTGAGGAGAGTTGCAGTTTCAGGAAATGGTGCTCTCTTCCCATTTCTACAGAAGCTGTGATGAGAAGGAGATGGTGTGGACTGGTCTAGTTCAAGTGGAATAGTGATCAGTGGAGTTTGAAATGGCCACTGAAAAAAGGGTAAGATTTGGTAGACTGTATTATTCAGGGTATTTAGTAGCAAGTCATGGAAACTAACATTCATTAATTAAGCATCAATTAAATTTATTAGAGGATATTGATAGTATTCATTTTCTATTGCTGTGTAACACAAATTTAGCAGCTTGACACAACACACATTTATTATCTCAGTTTAACTGCTCAGGAGTCCATACATAGTTTGACTCGGTCCTCTGCTCAGGGCTTTCATCAGGTGTTAGCTAGGGCTGCAGTCTCATCAGAGGCTCAGTTGGGAAAATATCTGTTTCTAAGCCTCCTTGTGGTTGTAGGACTGAGGTCTCCAATTTCTTGCTGGCTTGATTATATTATGATCAATGTATATATCATAATATAATCAAGGGAATGACACCTATCACCTTTGCCATATTCTAGCCATAATTCTACCTGAACTTAAGGTGGGAAGGGAACTCTACAAGCACATGACTTATTGTAGGTCACTTTAGGTTGTGTCTACCACATTGACTGGCTCATAGAATCTCTAATCTAGTGAATGGTCCTGGCACAGAAGCCATTCAATCAGAAACAAAGCTCCAAATCACTCTGCAGAACAGATCCTGTGAAATACTGTTGTTGCTGTTGCTGGCACAGCAGCTTCTATAGTGGAAGGTGGGTTCTGTATCATAAAAGAGAGGATTCTCCATATATAATAATAGGGTTCAGTTGCTCATGGCAATAAAGAATAATAGGTGTCCACTGCTGA